TGCAAGTGGAGGGGAGCCTGTTTGCAGGAATACAATSTCTAAGCTAGAAAATACTTGTTTCAATGCCCTGCAGATCTGCAGAAAAGGATTCATTTAATCAGATTTCAGAAATCTGCCTTGTGAGTGTTTGTGTCTGAGACAGTGCCCATTAGTGTCAATGGCTGCTGACAAACAGGCAAATGCTTATTTGAAGACGTAGTTCATCTGACCTGTTTTAGATGTCTTGCTCTGGGGTGAGAGGGAAGGCAGAAATGGTTGTTTGTCTCTATTGTCCTATAAAGGCAACTAAGCAGCAAGGTCAGAAGCATTTGGATTCCTGAAGAGGCAGTGACAAGGACAGCTGAAGGAAAAAGCCAGTAACTGTGGTACTATTTTTTTTGTCTGTGGGCTAACACTTAACTTGGGCAGAGAATTGCAGCGAGCAGAGATAAACAAGCACAGGTTTTACCTTCTCTTTTGCCCAGTCCGTGGAAGTTGCACTCATTTTAAAGCTGTCATTACATCTCCAGGACAGCTTTAACCTGAATTTTATGGATCTAAAATCCAAGATGGTTTATATTTTTCGGGCYCCATGTATTTTAGTTTTGGGTTACTGCATGTCTTGTGTTGGATTTGCAACATCCTGGGCAACTCCATACCTTGCTTGTTTCATCTCCGCATTCTGCACTGGACAGGCAATATGCTAACCTCTGTTTAGCTCAGAATCCCTCCCTGGATCTCTATTTATGTGAGTAAACAAATAGCTTTTGAAAATACGAGCATAGGTGCAAAGAATTAGGGGAGAATCCAATACATAAAAAGTTCACAAGCAATCTGAGAATAAATTTGTGATTGAAAAGTGGTCTATCAATATTACACGTCTAAGATCAATATAGTGTGGGGGGATTTCAATACTTGTAGAAATCTGAATGTGCCTGAATAATATAATAATACTTGGAACCACGGAGCAAATTTAAGTGTCTGGCCATAAGTGGACTAATGTAATAATAATGACTGCTTTAATGCTATTCTGAGTCTTAATATTTCATTGCAAGAATGACTTGTTGACCAAGTACAGAGGATGAAAATTTTGGTTTCTAGCACCCTCTCTTACTTCCAACTTTTAGTCAAGCGTTATCTCTTTAGGGAATTGGTGCAATCACAACCAATTATGCAATTAGGCTAAATAGATGTGGTAATGGATGCATAGTTTTGATGACAGCGTAAAAAGCTTAACCAAACTGAGTGTAACAGTGAGACCAGACATATGCAATGGAGAGACTTAAAATTTATGGCCATTATGAAAATCATGTTTTTGAAAATAAGAACTGATGAGTCCGTAGTAAAAATATGTTCCTACACACATATTTTGAAAAAAGAAATCAGAACTTTTTAAGCTCAATAGAGCTCAAAAGAAATACTTCCATTTTTTTTGATCATGTAGTTCACAAATAAGTCAAGTACAGCTGCAAATATACTTGTGACAACGAGAACAACTTTCTGCTAGACTTTATATATTTCTCTGTAAACTTGACTTTACTGCTGAGAGCAGGTGCAAATCAACTGACATAGTCATAGTCTTCATATTGTTATGGTTAGTGTGATGCAGTATCAGCTGTGTGGCAGCTCAGTCTCTTTTAGATCAGGCCAATATCTGTTTCTGCCTCCAAAGTACTTTTTTATTTTTTATATTATGCCAGATTCTGCTGTCAAATGTATTTGTGGTTCCTTCGAAGTTAATGGACTTGAAGCTCATGTCCTGGAATAAAGTTTAACTGYTGGGATTTGGAGTGGCCATCATCTCTCCTTCCTAAAGACAAGGACAGCGTAGGTGTTCACCATTGAACAATTTGCCCTGAGCTCCTGTGCAAACAAAGAGTTCTCTAAAAATGCCTCTCACTCTTCATTAAAGAGGAGTGTAAGAAACCTGAGGTGATTCCTCTATTTTAGGGATCTACATTGGCCAAAGGAATCTGAATTTTGGTCTCAGGTCTTCCTTTCTTTATAAACCTAGTAATGAGAGTGCTAGCTGAAGAAATCAGATTTACTGTCTGAAACAGCTTAACTGCTAAGAGTTCTTCAACTCTGGTCTCTGTTGAGACCATGTAAGGGGATTTTCAATTAAATTAATATTTTGAAATATCTAGCTTCTATGGATCTTTATTTTTTAACCCCCCAAATGCAAGCAATGGAATACTTCAGTCAAATATTGAATTGTTTTAGCCTATTTTTCTGAATAAATATGAATACACCACAATTTTTCCCAGAAAAAATCCTAAACCTAATCCATTTGAAACTCCTGTTAATCACTGCTCAGTGCATAGCCTGGACAGCTCTCAAAAACCTTCTTTGTCACTTAGTGTAGTTGTACCCCTGATTTGGAATGGTTCTAGGGATGATCATAGGTAACAAAGATTTCAACATTAGATGTTTTCAACTGAATGCTCATCAAGAGAAGCAAGAGTTAGAAAAAAAAAAACCACTAAAGCAATAGCCAGAGACCACTAGAAACAATGCAGAGCACTTCACTGGATTCCAATGGGTCTGCTTTTTATTGGGGCAAATACGAAAGTTGGCAGGAGAACATAGCACCTGCTAATCATTTCCCTTTCTCACCAAACAGGTTTCTTTGTGCTGGCCAATGTGTGAATTGCTGATTTCTCACAATTCAGAAAACAGTAGGGCAGAAACCCCTTTTTGCTTCTGCTAATCTGCTTGGGAAACAGGGAAGAGAAGGGGCACAGAAGAAAAGTCACTATCCCATGCAGAAACTGTGAGGTTTCCAGCAGCTTTCTATTTGCTCCCCATGAATTCCATCTTATTCTTTTCTCCTCTTAGCAYGTCCTATTTCACGAGTGGATAGGGCTATGGTCTGACGAATTTGCAAGTCCATCTCTCTTATCTCCACATCCTTATAATTTGTTAACTGCTTTCTTTGACCATCTCCTTCTTGCTTTCCTCCATTTGCTGATTCTTCTCTGCTCCTGAGCCATAACTTTTCTGGAGGACATTTGCTGAAAGAAGCTGTGAGACAGGACACACTGCTGACAAAAGGTCGTGTGGAGGCCCAGAGATTAGCTAACTGCACTCAGGTGGGCTGTAGGTCCCCACAAGAGACATGGTCATATACCAGGGTCTCTTAGCAGTTGTACTCATAGACAGTCTGCAGCTGGTATGCAGAGTGGCCATCTGAAAGAGTCATGTACAAAATCTGATGACCAGAGTTGCTTTTATCCAAGGTCATGCCTCCAAATATCTTCTCAGCACAGACCAAAGGCAAATGAAATTAGACTCTTTGGGCTCAATCTCCTAGACTAGAGAGATACTTGTCATAATGTAGAGTTGGCTTCCTCCGCTGCTAAATGGCTTGTCTTTCCCGTGAGCAGAGGAAGAAGCCCTACTTGCAGCTCTTCCACCAGACAGCGGTGGTTGGATCCATCAGCTACTTGGGTAGCCCCAGCCAATACAATGTAGGTGGGATGCTAATGGGTGAGATAGGAGCTTCATCAGATAGAAACTGCCCTTGGAAGAGAATATCTGCCTTGGGAAGTTACTTCTGCAACTAACTATCCCCAAGCTAATTACTCTGCAACTACCTTTCTTGCACCTCAATAATTGCACTTTGCACTTTTTTTGGAACTAGCTTTTGTGGGTCTACCCCGAAGGTTGAGCTACAACAAGAACCTTGGATATATGCTCAGTTCTCTCATGGGCCTTTACACGCTCGCTCTGAAATAAACACACCTGAAGGAGATTTGACTCATGAAAGTAAAATTTAACCTATCAACTTGTTTATGATTATAAAATCAGTCTGGGGAAGAAGAGCCTAATATTTGAAACATAAAATTCTTTCCCACCCAGTAGGGGACACAGAAAAAAATTAAAGAGGTTCAGAATCTCAGCAGTTCAAACATGCCTACAATTTTCTTGTGACTCTGGCAATTGCTTTCCAAGGAAACCTTTGCGATACAAGAGAATAAAAACTAATTTACCGTTTCTGAATTGCATATAAGTAGTTGTTTTGCTGAAAAAAACAGTGTTTATTAACAGAGCTCAACTGCTACGCACTCTATCTGAGGCTAGAAAGTATGAGGCACCAATACCCATGATTACCTGAATGTAGGCAGGTACTTAGCACAAGTGCTGAGTGACTGGTGGGAAACTGGATTTTCTAAGCAAATGGCTTGACACAATTAAACAACTGGGTGATTTGATAAGCACTCTATCTTTTCAAATATCTCTTCTCACAATCCAGTAACTTTAATGTCTTAGTTTTTGCTTTTCAACACTTCCATAAAAAATACAGTGGTTGATTTCTTTTTTTCTTTTTTTTTTTTTTTTTTTTAAGCATTGCTAATAAAGAACTTGCAAACTGCCACTGGAATCTGTAATTCCAACCAGACTAGGACCAGGAATTACAAAAGGTTGGGACCTTTATTTGTAGAGAACCAATGACAATAATTGGCGGTCCCCAAGGGGTGGAGGTCTATCTTACCTTTTTTTTGAAGACTTCAGTATACACTTAGGAAACCTGTAATCCCCCCCCTAGATGAATGTGTCAGCAGAGCTTTTGGGGCTATTTATTAGCTGTTCAAACAGACATGCAGAAAAGCAAGCAATTTTTTTTTCCAGATTTGACAGCAGTTTTGAGTATTTTTTCCCTAAAAAGGGAAGCAAGAAATTGTTCCCTCCCTGCTGAGATAAACTTGCTGTCACTAAGACAAATAATCTGGATTGTACTAGGCAGAACACAGAGCCAGGGTTGGTTTTACATCTCAGAACACTTCCCAACTAATGACTTTCCTCCCTGTTCCTCCCCCTTCCCAGGTTGCTGTTTGTCTTTTATAGCTTTGTACTCAAAATACGGTTGTAAATTGAAATTCCAAGCCATTTGCTCCAACCATCTTTTCAACATTAACAAAAGAATAGCCAGAAGAGAAATCAAATAAAAGAAACAAACAGAACAAGCAATGCAAAGTAAAAGGACTCTAACGAAAGCAGTAACTTACTGTAGCTACTTTCACTATCGCTGGCATTAGAAGAAACATGTTCTGCAAGAACAGTACAGCAAATTAAGAACATAACCAAGCACCACAAAGCAGCAGGAACTTAAAAGAACTGCTAAAGTCATGCAAAGGTAGTTGTGCAGAGAGGAAATAAAATCTGTACTGTGGCATCACCTGAAAATCTTTGATGGTTTACACAGTTAAAATGAAAGCTTTTTCTCATGAGACATTTCAGAAAGGGAGTACATGATAGCCAGTAATATGCGTTATGACAAGGTCGTTTCTAGTTGTCCATGAAACAGCTAGTGACATTTCAGACAATTTCAGAATACAGTATGGTCAGTTTGCACCTCGCTGGAATTTTGACTAATTTCATGAAACTTGAGCGCCTGGCCATATTATTCTTCACTTTGAATAAGGTGGTGCATGGTTAATGCATTGGTACAATTTCTGCTAAAATTAGAGAGTTCTTACTTTTGCTACTGTGACTAATTGCTGTTCACTGTCTCAGAAGGTTAAAAAATTAACATGAAAATGATTTTAGTACCAAATATTGTAACTGTATCTATTTTAATCCATCCAGAAAAAGACAAAGTCAATGATAAAAAAAGGAAGAATCACTTATTTTTTCTTTTTTTCCCCCAAATTTTCTAGCTTTGTGATTTGAGCTAGAGTAGGTAAACTTTTGCTAGACCRCTCGGGATGGATACGTAGGATTGTAGGAATTAACATGGGACAGAATTGTAGTTTCACAAGTATAGTGTCTATATCATACTATTTTTTTTAAAAAAAGGTAAGTTCTATTTCATGTGAGGTGGTTGTTCCCAAACTTCAGTCCATATCCCATTTATAGTCACTCAGGCTACCATATATGGTCTTCAGGTGGTCCACAGAACCACAGTAAGCAGTGGTATTAATAGTAATTTGATAGATATGATGATAAATTTGTAACTGAAAGACCATTTTTGAGAACTGATACTTTTGAATTGCACTTTGAATGAATTAAATTTTGAAAGTGCAGTTCAAGTACATTTAGAAAACAATAGTAAAATGGACATATGGTGGTGAGTCACCCTTGGTTAATGCATAAGAAATGGTGGTGGGTGAATCAAGGGTGCAAAGAAGTCACCTCTAACAAACACAAGGTAAATTGCCTTAAAAAAAAAAAAAAAAGACAGAAAAAGCCAAGAAATGCCCTGGGATGAACTTTGATTAGAATCTGCATTGATATCCCGCAGGRTGAATATGGGAATGATGCCAAAGACTGTGCCTCTTTGCAAAGCACTGCAATTCCACTCACATACAAGTCTAATAACTGGATTTTATACAGTTGGACTGATGGGGCTTCTCCAGCAGCACAAATGAGGGGAGGATGTCATCTGACAAGAATAATAATGGGAAACTTTGGTCTGGAGTTTAGTGAAAAGCTTCAAAAAGTAGAGCTTAGATTCTGAKAAAAATGTATATTTACTTTTGGATATTTAGTAGCAAGTTAATAAGGCCTCCATCAAGCTATTATGCTATAGATGACCTGGAAGGTCTTTATGAAATAAGAATAGATATCYTCAGTGGTAGGGAAAATCATTAAAAATTACATTTCAGTTTAATATTAGTGAAAACAGGATGGGACTAGAATGTCCAGAGATGTGTCAGTAATTGAAAGCTATATGTAAAATTAATAGAGAAACTAGAGCCTACGTAATACCTCTGTGCTRCCTTTCCCTTAGCAATTAGTATGCAGAGTTAATTTTTCTCCATTGAAATGGTTGACTGTTATGGAGATTTATTTTTTTTTAAGGAGGGCTTATAAAATCAGAAATGTTCTACTTCTCTTTAGGCAGAGAARAGTACACGTGTGGTTAATGTGATGCTAAGGCACTTTCCTTAAAGCATTCAGTAGCTGAATAGTTAAAATTCTAGTGGCAGTGACATTTCCTGTGTATTACCAAGAAAATTAGTCTCATAGAACTGTTCTTTGTCCAAGAGACGCAGCTTTCATCTTTAACTGTTGAACTACTGTTTGATTTCAAATTATATCAGTAAAATCTTCCTTCAAAAAATCCATCAGGAACAGAATAATGTCTAAAATTGTATGCATGAGTATGCATTTCTATGATTCAAAACATGCACAAAATGTTAGGTGATGCAATGGCAACATTCATATACATTTCCCTTCAATTGTATGGTGCTTAAGAAAAAGCATAAGAACTGAAGAAAGAAGCAGCCAAAGACATGCAAGTGCTACTCTGTTTATAGCATTTATCTTCTTTTAAAGATATCTTGCTCTGAATACAGCATATAATGTAACTATTAATAAAGAATTCAGCTGCAAATATTCACTCTATACAATCTTTCTGGCCTAACTGTCAAGAAATAGAATTATTTTAGAAGTTATCTGATGTGATACCAAATTTCAAGAGAGGATTACTGCATCAGAGAAAGAAGTTGGTTAAGGTGATATGACAGAGAAGAAGTAGCTAATGGTGAAATGGGTCCAAAATTAGCTTTGGAGAAGCCATGTCTTCTCTTGCCTGCAAAAGGCTTCTTCCAATAACAAATACTAATCTAAAATCCAGCAAAGTAACAAACACGCCCATGCAAAAAGCTGAAAATGCAGAAGCGACAGCATAAAATAATTTTTCTACTGGTGTCCTCAGGACATGATCAAGCTGCAATGCTTAACCTTCCCTCCAGATGGAGAGCTGTTGAAAGTACTGTCTAGGCAGCAAAGCAAGTTCTAGGTAAGCTACCCTACAAAACTGCCAGGATGGGAACAATAACACACTGTCAGAAACGAAAGGTGTTATTACAGAAGAAGTATCTGCTTGATACATTGTATGTTATTTAATATTGTCATGCAGAACAAAACAATTAAAACTTTTTTTTTTTTTTAATGCATTCACAGCTGGGTAACAAATAAAACTCTTATCTTGTGCATGCTAGGAGTGGAGGGTCCTCAGAGAAGGAACAAAAGCCAAAACAAAACAAAACAAAAAAAAATTACAGTGACCATTCCTGGGAACTTACTCAGAGTCTTTGTTCCATAACCGTCGTCACCTAATCCGGGGATGTCCTGCACGGAAGTCCCCAGAGAGAGCAATGAGAAAGGAAGAACAGCCGCAGAAGAGGAAGGAAGAAGTCAGTGGAGTTGAAATGGATACTACCATGACTGACCATGTTGATTGAGCAATCTGGATCCCTGCTTTTTCTCTCCGAAACAACTTTCATCTGCAGTCTATRGGAGTGCAGCCAATGAAAGAGCCAGTGACCATGATAGGCAGCTTTTGTTGCTGTAACAAGGATGGAGCAACCCAAAAAGTATAGTCCGGAAACAATCATCGCCAGAGAAATTTATAAGACAATTATTAAGAGAACAGAAGTTAAAATTTTCTGGGATTGGAATGAGCATATATTCTTAAAATGCCGATTTTGAAGCAAGCCCCCGCTCCGGGTGGCAGGGCTGATGCACRTTCAAAGATCTTTTTTTCTTTTTTAAACTGATAGTTTATTAGTAAACTTTCAGTGAAAGTGTCCAAGACAATCAACTTGGAGAGAATCAGAGGCAAAAAAGGAGATTAGAGTAGATGTTTATAAATGTAATAATTTATTGTAGCATTCTAAAAGATAACACATTTGTATTATTTTGAGTCGTTTCTGATCTGGGAATATTTAATTGCAGACAAGTTTATGACAAGCACCAGAGCAATTTTAGAAAGCCACATTTTTTTCATGAAAGGGAAGAAATCATTTCCCAAAACCAAAGGTCACTGTTTAATTCTTTTGGGGGGAAGAAAAAAAAAAAAAAGATGTTTTCAGGGAAGGAAGGGCCAGCTGGATCCAAATTGCAGTCACACATTGGTCACAGTAGTACTACCTTGCCTGCCTGCCTACGAGATGTATTTGCCTAGATGTGTGGGATACTGGTATCATGCGTGTCACCCATCGCTTTTGTGCTGCATGTGACATCGTCTCCAAGAGGTTACTTACGTTCTGGATCACTTGTTTCCTGCTCACTCTGCTCCTTGCTCTTGTAGAATGGGAATTTTCGTGAAAAGATGAAGTTCTTTTTACGCTTGTCATTGAATGACTGTGAAGGAGAAAAGGCATGGGGCAAAAACAGGGACGTCTAATTGTTGTCACACTCATGCTGACAAAACAACTAGTTTGTAAAAGTGGAGAGAACTGTAGTGACTCAAATCAGCCCAAACCAAGTGGCTAGGAAGAATCACGAGTGGCTGCAGCGAGGTCTGCAGGGGGAAGGCAATGCCCCTTGAGGTCTACATCAATTTGATCACAGAGCCTGCAGATCCCAAACTTTGGCTCCTCATTTCCAAACTATTGTGTTGGGTTGTTCAGCTAAAGGGCTAMAGACAACTCAGCATGCTTTGAGACCAAGCCATTCATCCTTAGTCAGAGCAAACTGTGCACAGAATTAATTAACAGACTACTAAATAAATAAATAAGTAAATAAAGGCTGCAAAGGAAAAAGAGGAAGCCTTTTATTTATTTCTAAAAGTTGTGCGAATTCAACTCTGTGCCAAATAAAATTAAATATTTGTTTCTCGTAACTGTATCTACTTTCATAGTATATTATTTATTCTCTAAACCAGCAAGTTATTAGGTGTGTTTAAATGCATTCTTTCATATAATAAAATAAAAAAGAGTTTACTTTACACTCTTCACTCATTAAGTTCTTCTGGATATACTCCCAGTTTTATACGACTTACATGATAGATTCTGCTGGTAAACAGTATTTCATTGAATATTAAGCAATGTATAAAGTTTAAATTCTTCAAAAGGGGARTTAACATGGAATCTAATGTTATGTAATAAACCCATTGACTTTTACAGGCAGTTATAAGTGTTCTTTGCACTGTATAATATAAAAGCAGGATGTGTCTGCTTGGCACCATATATTTTGGTTACTAAATGAGGAAAGAGGGCTCCTGTACAGCCAAATAAAAGCAACTGGCATTTCTAGAGGGCACCTACAGGAGATACAGGTTGTATCTAACTGGTGGACCATGTCCTGCATGATGTCTTCTACTGGACATCAGCAAAGCCCAGATACCTGACTTTGCACCTCATCACTTCCAAAAGATGCAGAGATCTTCTCAATTCATTTAATGAAACAATTCCATGTACTTGTGGTCTCCTGAACAAGTATATATGCTATTTGGCTCCAAATCAGAATGAAATAGTTTTAGGATTTGAGAGTATAATTTGTTTTCTTACATTTTGGAAGCACAGCATAAAATGTGTTTTGGAATATGATAAATTTCTGAAAGATGAGAAGTTAAAAGGCTTAGGTATTGAAACAGTCTATTAAAACATTTATCTACTTGTGTCACAAAAGTTTCATGCCACTTTTACATTTCAAGCATATTTAAATTTTAGTAACTGAAAACAAAGGAAAAAAAATGCACATGTAGAGTAAATGATCCGTGAGCATCTCTCAGAGTATGTAAACATTCAACTTGAAATTAATATGGAGGTCATGCACAAATTAATCAGATAGCATGCTGTTTGAAAACAAAGCAAATATGAAAGAAAGCCAGAGGGGAAAAAAAATATGGGCATGAAGGATTAAAGTAATCCGTGGATGAAAGGAGGACCCACATGCACATTACATCATTTTAATGGCCTAAAGGATATAGTTAAAGTAAAATGTGTTTTCTGTGATCATTTTTTTAAATCTTCCCAAAACAAGGAATGCCAGGTGTTAACATTTCCCAAATTATGAAAATGTTATTTCTCATCTGATTCATCTGAATTTGATATAAGACTACAATAGGCATTTAACTTATAAAGGGAAAAAAAATACACACAACAACACCTCCAAAACAAAAGAGTTTTAAAATGACAATCACTTCATTACCAAATGCCATTTCACTTTGAAATTAAAGAGAATGTTATCAAATTAATATATAAATATGCTGTGTTTCACAGAGATGCTAAAACAAATAACAACTTACAATTATTCTCTTAAAAAAATACCCAACAGTCTATATCAGAAACTTCAAAAAATCTATTTGGCCCAGAAAAGCATTTTTTTTCCCAAGCTTATGCATGATCTAGCAATATGTCAAATTATATAGATATTGTACAACACCGTATTTTTTTTACTTTTTTTTTTCAATTTCAGTTATTGACTTGTCTTTTAAGAAGCCTATTGTTCCACTTCAATTTAGACAACCAAAGCTGGTAATTGATAATAATGGCTATGATCAGTAATTGTCCTGTCATTTATACCAGCAAAGAAAACCCTTATTCTTAAAATATATCTGGCACTTTATTTATTAAGGTCTTATGCTGGACCTATTTATGCATGTTTTAAAATTTCTGTGGATTAACTAGTGTGAATATTCATATCTACTAAAAAATATAGTCATATGGATATTTAAAAAATAATAAAAATCCACAAACTTTAAAATATTAAAAAGGACTAAACTGGGTTTGATCCTGTGAAGTTGTTGAAATCACTAGGCTTTACTATTAATTTAGTGGACTTACTACGCATTTATTGTATTGTACATTGAAAGCATGATGCTCCACAAAAATTGATTTTGTTTTGCATCCAATATAAACAAGATTAGAATCAGGCTGATGGTTTCCCCCTGAAGGATACAAAATCCTGCAGACACCCAACAAAATAGTGCATACAAGTACCAATAAATTTATCTGCAATCTTCAATTTACAATGGCATTGGCAAAGCCATGAGAGGAAATTATAAAGCAAAATCTTATTTTTTTTGTAAGCTATGAATAGATGTAGAATAGATGGCAGATACGTATTTGTCTACATCTTTCAGCCTGTAATAGAAATCTGGTCAATGATATTCAAGTTTGGGCTTGATTCAACAGTATTTATACAGGCAAGAGTCTGAAAGAGTGATGAAAATAGATTCTTGTATAAGTTGCAATTTCTTTGTACAAATGCTGTAAGATTCCAACATTTTGGTTTCAGTGAAAACCTCTACCACAGATAACTTTATATATCATTGTCACTGCTTCACATGGGCTACCACTAACCAAGGAACTGGCATTAGTAGGTATGTCTTACTGACAAATGCCAAATCCTCACCATATTCCCATGACAAAAAAAGCAAAAGAAATTTTCAAGTACTGACTTAAAACAGAATACTGAGGCCATTCTTCATAATATATGAACTATAATGAACAAAAAAGTATTTTTAGAGTAAAAAAAAAAAAGGAGAAATCCATCCTGGTTTGAATTTTTGTTTTGATATTAGGCACTCACTGTGTCTTGAAAACATCAAGAAAAAACGGTGATATGCCCCTTTTCTTTACTAAATGTCCCYAGCTGTCCCTTGCTATGTAAAACTTGTTTACATAGGTAGCTTCTCCTGGTTGTGACAGACATTAAGACATCGTGGGTTTCTTCTTCTTAAAAAAGTCCTTTCTCTGCATGTTTGTGTCAACAGCCTACTTTAGTCTTTTCTCTAGATTGAGCAGCCATATATATGTTACTTATCAACTAACAGAATAGCATTTTTAAAATGAATTTTCATGTAAAATTGAATAGACAATCAAATTTTGCTTTATAGTGGCAAATATCACAAGAATAGTGCATCGGCATTTTGATAGTTGTACTCTGCAGTTGCTGTAATGAACTACTGTGTCATTATTTACTTTGAACTTCTCAGTATCATACAGCATATAAAAATCTACAGAATATATCAGTAAGATCATGTTTCTGTTATCTTTTTCTGTATACATTTTACATATCCCTTTCTTAGTAGGAACATCCCTTTTGCTCTATTTGAACACCTCTAATTTTAATAACATTTTGGAGATCCCCACCTCAAAAAAAATCCAGTCTTGCAGTTATTTTGTATTTAGTTTTTGCACCACAATCTGCTTTGATAACTGAGAACAAACCTTGGGTCAGAAGAGACTTGGATCAAGATTACTCTGTTTGCTTAGTGTTCCTGTAAAGCTACAGGGAGATTTGGATCTTGGAAAATCAAAACAAAAAAAGACTAATTAAAACCACTATGCTGTCTAGCTTCTACAAAGATATTTCTGTTTTACACTCATAAATACAAAACT